CCCGGGGATGGGGACACGGTGACAACGCAGCCGAGGGCCACCACAGCGGGGACAGGAGATCCCGGGGATGGGGACACGGTGACAACGCGGCCCAGGGCCACCACGGCCCCTCCGGAGAGCGGGGACAGCGCGGGGACAGCGGCGGGGAACGGGACACGTGAGTGACAAGGGGAGGTGGCACCGCCATGAGGAGGGGACATTGTCATGGGGGGATTGTCACCGTTCCGAGGGGACACCGTCATGGGGCGATTGTCACCACCCCAAGGAGGGGACACCATTGTGGGGATTGTCACCGCTCCAAGGGGATTGTCACCGTCCTGAGGAGGGGACACCGTCATGGGGGTTTGTCACCGTTCTGAGGGGATTGTCACCATCTTGAGGGGATTGTCACTGTTCCAAGGAGGGGACACCATTGTGGGGATTGTCACCGTCCCAAAGGGATTGTCCCCATCTTGGTTGGATTTGTCACCGCCCCGAGGAGATTGTCACCATCCTGAGGAAGGGACACCATTGTGGGGGGATTGTCACCGTTCCGAGGGGATTGTCACCGCCACAAGGAGGGGACACCGTCATGGGGGATTGTCACCGTTGTGAAGGGATTGTCCCCATCTTGAGGAGGGGACACCATTGTGGGAATTGTCACCGTCCTGAGGAGGGGACACCGTCATGGGGGATTTGTCCCCATCTTGGTTGGATTTGTCACCATCTTGAGGGGATTTGTCACCATTCCAAGGAGGTGACACCATCGTGGGGGGTTTGTCACCATGTTGGTTGGATTTGTCCCCATCCCGAGGGGATTGTCACCGTTCTGAGGAGGGGACACCATCTTGGTTGGATTTGTCCCCACCCTGAGGAGGTGCCACCACCCTGGGGCTCCTCCCACCCTCCTGAATCGTCCCAACCCCCCTTCCCGGTCCTTGTCACCACCCGGCCATGCCCTTTCCCGCCTTTCCTTGATTTTCCTTCATTTTCCCTCATTTTCCCTCTTTTTCCCATCTTTCCCACATTTTCCCACCTTTTCCACCTTTTCCCTCCTTTTCCTGCCTTTCCCACATTTCCCACATTTTCCCGCCTTTTCCCAAATTTTCCCATCTTTTCCACATTTTCCCACCTTTTCCCACCTTTTCCCAACTTTCCCGTTTTTCCCACCTTTTCCCATTTTTCCCAACTTTTTCCCACATTTTCCCAAATTTTCCCACATTTTCCGTCATTCCCGCAGGGATTTCCGGGGGTGTCCCCGCCCGTTTTTGGTCTCCCGCCATCTTTGTGGCGCTGGCCCTGCTCGTGCTCTTCGTCGCCTACCGGAGGAACAAGGGCAAAGGTCAGACCCGCCCCCCCAAAAAAAACCCAAAAATCACCACCCAAAAATATCCCAAAAAACTTAAAATCAACAAAAATCACCACCCTAAAAAATCCAGAAATCACCACCCCAAAAAAATCCAGAAAGAACCACCCCAAAAAATCCCCAAAACCCCAAAATCAACAAAAATCATCACCCCAAAAATCCAGACATCACCACCCAAAAAAATCCCCAAAACCCCAAAATCTCCACAAATCACTGCTCAAGAAGATCCCCAAAAACCCCAAAATCTCCAGAAGCCACCACCCCAAAAAATCCCGAAATCACCACCCCAAAAGATCACCAAAACCCCCAAAAATCACCACCCAAAAAAATCCCCCAAAACCCCAAAAACTCCAGAAATCACCACCCCAAAAATCCAGAAATCACCACCCAAAAAAATCCCCAAAACCCCAAAATCTCAAGAAATCACCACCCCAAAAAAATCCAGAAGCCACAACCTCAAAAACTCCAGAAAAACCCCAAAATATCCAGAGGTCAAAACTCAAAAAAACCCCACAAATTACCCCAAAATGCCCAAAAGTGTCCCCAAAATGTCATTTTTGGGGTGCGGCACCATTTTCCTGATCCCAAAAACACCCCTTTGGTCACGGGGGCTCCCCCTTTGCTCAGATCCGACCCCAAAATCCCCCAAATTCATCCCAAATTCTCCATTTGATCCCAAATTCTCCTCTTTTGGGGTCTCCTCTGCCCTTTACACAAATTTTGGGGTTTTAGGTTTTTTTTTTTCCGTTTCAAACCCAAGCTGGGGCCGTGCGTCTCCGCTTTGGGGTTTCTCAAAGATTTGGGGTTTTCTCAAAGATTTGGGATTTTCTCAAAGATTTGGGGTTTCTCAAATTTTTGGGATTTTCTCAAATTTTTGGGGTTTCTCAAATTTTTGGGGTTTCTCAAAGATTTGGGGTTTCTCAAATTTTTGGGGTTTTCTCAAATTTTTGGGATTTTCCCGGTCCAGGGAGTCGGGATTGGGCCACGAGCGGCAGCGACTCCTCAGGTGAGCCCGGGGGACTGGGGCTGTACTGGGCAAACTGGGAGAACTGGGGTATTTTGGTTTAATGGGGTATTTTATTTTATTTTATTTTATTTTATTGGGATATTTTGATTTATTGGGGTATTTTATTATTTTTGGATATTTTGTTTTATTGGGGTCTCTATATTTTACCTGGTTATTTTACTTTATTTTATTTTATTGGGATATTTTGATTTTTTGGGGTATTTTCCATGATCCCTTCCCGGCAGATTTGGGGGCGCTGGTCCAGCCCCAAATCCAGGGGGGCACCGACCCCAAAACCCCGACCCTACAGGTGAGCCCTGGGTGGGAAAAATGGGAAAAATCCCGGGAATTGGGAAAAATGGGAAAAATCCCAGGAATTGGGGTGGGAAAAATGGGAAAAATTAAGGGAATTGGAGTGGGAAAATCCCGGGAATTGGGGGGAGAAAATGGGAAAAATTCAGGGAATTGGGGTGGGAAAATGGGGAAAATCCCGGGAATTGCGGTGGGGAAAATCCCGGGAATTGGGAAGGGGAAAATGGAAAACTCCTGAGAATTGGGATGGGAAAAATGGGAAAAATCCTGGGAATTGGGATGGGAAAAATCCCAGGAATTGGGGTGGAAAAAATCCTGGCAATTGAGAAGGGGAAAATGGGAAAATCTTGGAAATTGGGATGGGGAATTGGGGTGGGAAAAATGGGAAAACTCCCAGGAATTTGGATCCAGAAAATGGCAAAAATCCCGGAAATCAGGATGGGGAAATGGGGACAAATTCTGGGCTGTCCCATGGAATTCCCGATTTTTTCCAGAGGGTTCGGAAGGACCCCGAGACCGACAGGGATCCGGAACATTCCGAGACCGCCTTCGGCCAGCCAGAGCCAACCCCGACCCCAAACCCGGTATTCCGGGGGAAAAGGGGAAATTTCTGGGAAAAAGGGGAAAATCTGGGAAAAAAAGGGGAATTTTGGGGAAAAAGAGAAAATTTCTTGGGGGAACGGGGAAAATTCTGGGGAAAAGGGGCGGTTTTTGGCAAAAAGGGGAAATTTCTGGGGAAAATGGGAAATTTTTGAGAAAAAAGGTTAATTAGGGGGGGAAAAGGGATAATTTTGGGGAAAAAGGGACAATTTTGGTGATAAAGAGACAATTTTGGGATAAATGGACAATTTTTGGGATAAAGGGACAATCCCAGCCCTTTCCCAATTCCCGATTTTTCCCTCCCCAGCCAGACTCGCCCCCAGGAGGCTCCTGAGGCCACCCTGAGATGTCCCCGGTGTCCCCCAGGCAAGGACGGGAACGGCTCAATAAAGCGGGATTTGATCCCAAAAAAAACCTTGGAATTTTTTGGAATGACCCTAAAAGGGTGGGGAAAAAAACCCCAAAGGCTCCTCAGGTGATCCATGGACGGATCAGGGATGGTGGGAATTTTCCCCATCCATGGAAATATTTCCCCCAAAAGGGGAAAATCCCAAAGGAAACGACCCCAGGGATGCCCCGGATCCGGGTTTGGGGTGGCTCCAATTTCTGACCCCAAAAATCCCAAATTTCTCACACCAAAAATCCCCAAATTTCTGACCCCACAAATCCCAAATTTCTGACCCCACAAATCCCAAATTTCTGACCCCACAAATCCCAAATTTCTGACCCCATAAATCCCCAATTTCTGACCCCAAAAATCCCAAATTTCTGACCCCACAAATCCCAAATTTCTGGCCCCATTAATCCTGAAGTTTTGGCCTCGTAAATCCTGATTTTTTGTCCCCATAAATCCCGAAGTTTTGGCCCCACAAATCCCCAATTTCTGACCCCGTAAATCCCCAATTTCTGATCCCACAAATCCCAAATTTCTGACCCCATTAATCCCGAAATTTTGGCCCTGTAGATCCCTAAACTTCGGCAGCACAGACCCCAAATCCTCGACCCCATTGACCCCAAATTCATGACCCCAAAGACCCCAAATCCTTGACCCTACAAACCCCAAACTCCACCCCATAAATCCCAAATCCTTGGCCCCATAATCCCAAATTCTACCCCATAAATCCCAAATCCTTGGCCCCACAAATCCCCGAACTCTTCCCCCTGCAGCCCCCAGAGCCAAAATAAATTTACTAAAAACAAAAATTCAAAACAGATTTCTTTTATTTAAAAAAAAAATTGTACAATTTTTTAGTTCTTCTATGAAAAAAGCAAAAAATAAAATTAAAATAAAAACCCGAAAAAAAAACCAAACAAAAAACCAACCGGACACCAACGGAAAAAAATTCCTACCACTGGCGGGAAACTCCGATCCGCCGTAAAAAATGGGAAAATCCCTCCAAGCTTTTTTTTTTTTTAAATTTTTTTTCTCTTTTTTTATATATATTAAAAACCATCGATTTGACATTTTACAACTTTCTACAGGCATGCACAAAGGTCTCGGCTCTGCGGGAAATCCCAAAAATCCAAACCCAACCCCAAAAAACCCAACCAAAAAAGGGATTTTTTTTTAAAAAAAATTTTCTCCCGGAATTCCCAAATTCGCCCCTTCTCGGGGTGATCCATTTGGGTTTTTTGGGTTTTTTTTTTTGCAGGAAATTGCCCCAAAATGAACTCCCAGCGGCAGCAGCGCCGACGGAGCCGAAGGATTTGGGGGAAAATTCGGATCCTTCGGCCCCAAAAGGCTGGGAAATGCTGGGAGCGGCAGGAAGGGGTTAAAATTCCCAAAAAAATAATGGGAATTTCCTTGAATTCCCATTTTGCTACTGGTGCTCACTGGGGAAGAGCCCCAAATCCAAACTCCACCTTTTTTAGTGCTTAGGACGAAACCGCCCCAAAATCCGACCCCAAAACTCCTCCCTGGAATGAAATCCCGCTGGAGTGGGCGAAAAAAAATGGGAAAAAAGGAAAAAATTGGGAAAAAAAAATACAAATCGATCGGTGAGGTATTTGGGACCTAAAAAAAAGTAGGAAAAGGCAAAAAAAAAAAAAGGATTTTTTTGTGTCCCGATGGGAATTTTGTGGGGTCACCACGGGGTCACCTCATGAAGGATCTCGGTGACCTCTCCCAGGAGCTCCTCGGGGTTATGGATCTGGGATTGGGATCACGGCAGGGATTTTGGGAATTTTTTGGGAATGTTGGGAATTTTGGGATTTGTCCCAGCTCCAACTGGGAAACCCCATGGAGACCCCGCCGGAATTTGGGGTGTGGATCCCCCTGGGGAGCAGCAAAATCCCACCCAAAAAACCCAAACTCAACTTTAACTCCTCCAAAAAACCCAAATTCCACTCATTTTTCCTAAAAACAACATCAGCAGAGGCGAGGGGAGCTTTTCCACAGGAGGAGATCCCAAAATCCTTCCCTGTTCCCAAAAAAATGCCCCCAAAAAAAGAAAAAATTCCCTTGGTATCAAAACGGGGCCCTGGGTAGGGAATTGTTGGGGTCAGCCCTGGAATGGGGAATGGGGAATTTGGGAATTATTGGGGTTGGGGAATTCTTGGGGTCAGCCCTTGATTGGGGAATTCTTGGGGTTGGCCCTGGAATGGGGCACCAGGAATTCAGGAATTGGGGAATTCTTGGGGTCAGCCCTTGAACAGCGGCACCGCCGTGCCGGGGGAACGGTCCCGAGGATTGGGATTTTGGGAGGGACAAAGAGGAGGAGGAGGAAAAGGGGCTCGGCCACCCCAAAAAGGGCGAGCGCCACGATCCCGGAGAGGCTTTGCCAGAGGGATCCGGAGGAGCCAAAATCGGGATTTTCGGAGCAATTTGGGGCCGCTCCCACCCCATCCAATCCCTTCCCCAAATCCAGATTTTCAGAGCCTTTTGGGGACAGTCCCATCCCCTCCAAATCGGGATTTTCAGCACGATTTGGGGAAGGTCCCATCCCCTCCAAATTGGGATTTTTGGAGCCATTTGGGGTCGGTCCCATCCCCACCAAATCGGGATTTTCAGAGCAATTCAGAGAAGGTTTCGTCCTCCCCAAATCCAGATTTTCAGAGCGATTTGGGGAAGGTCCCAAATCCAGATTTTTTGAGCCATTTGTGGAAGGTCCCATCCCCACCAAATCGGGATTTTCGGAGCGATTCGGGGCCGCTCCCGCCCCGTCCAATCCCTCCCCCAAATCCAGATTTTCAGAGCGATTTGGGGAAGGTCCCAAATTGGAATTTTCGGAGCGATTCGGAGCCGCTCCCGCCCCATCCGGTCCCTCCTCCGGCCGTCTCACACCGAGGTCTCCGACTGCAGCCTCATGATGAATTTGTGGGATTTGGGGTCCACGAACTCCTCGGAGAGTTTGAAGAAGGGGATTTTCTTGGTGGACACCACCAGGCTGAAGTCCTGGCGCTTGAGCACGAAGACCACGCCGTCCCTCAGGCCGCTGGTGACCGGCTCCTCGCTGACCAGCGTCCACTGCTTGGCCAGCCAGCGCTCGCGGTGGTACTGGATGGTGGGGCCGGCCGCCAGGTAACGCTCCAGGAAAGCCTTGGGAAGAGAGTCCAGTGAACCCAAAATCCCCGAAACTGTGAGCTAACGACCCAAAAAACCCCGAATTTGTGAGCCAACGACCCCAAAAACCCTGAATCTGTGAGCCGGTGACACCCAAAACCCTGAATCTGTGAGCCGGCAACCCCAAAAAACCCAAATCACCCCAATTCCAAACCACCCCAATCCCAAATCACCCCAATCTTGAATCACCCCAATCTTGAATCACCCCAATTCCAAATTTGCTTCCCCCAATTCCAAACCACCCCAATCCCAAATTCTCTTACCCCCAACCCCAACTTCCATGAACTCCCCACGTACATTACCTCACACCCCTCCCCCTCTCCACGTGGGTGACCCGAAACCGGACCATACCACCCCAAAATTGCATCCCCGACGACCCCAAATCAGACCAAACCACCCCAAAATCGCATCCCCAAAATTGCATCCCCAAAATCACACCCCCGATGACCCCAAATGGTTCAAACCAACCCCAAAACAACCCCAAACAGCTCCAAACCACCCCAAAATCACATCCCCAACGACCCCAAACGGTTTCCCGATGACCCCAAAATCGCATCCCCGATGACCCAAATGGCTCCAAACCACCCCAAAATTGCATCCCCGATGACCCCAAACGGTTCAAAACGACCCCAAAATCGCATCCCCGACGACCCCAAATGGTTCAAAACAACCCCAAAACGGTTCAAAACGACCCAAAATCACATCCCCGACGACCCCAAACGGTTCAAAACAACGCCAAAATCACATCCCCGACGACCCCAAAATTGCATCCCCGACGACCCCAAACTGGACCAAACCACCCCAAAATCACATCCCCGACGACCCCAAAATCCCATCCCAAATGACTCTAAACGGTTCCAAATGACCCCAAATTGGACCAAACCACCCCAAAATCACATCCCTAATGACCCCAAACAGTTCCAAACCACCCCAAAACGCCGTCCCCTCTCACCTTGGGGGTCATGTCGTGGGTGATGCAGAACTCGAGGTGCTGCAGGATGCTCTCCATGCTGTGGAACGGCTGCTGCTTGGTGGTGCGCAGGTATTTCTGCATGGCGCGCGCCATGGAGGCGAAGATGGCCTGGGCGGCCTCGCGCGGGTCCATCACCTCCCGCGGGTTCTTCTGCTCCTCCTCCTGCAGCCGCTTGATGTGCGTGAAGGCTTCCTCCACCGCCACCACCAGCCTGGGGACAGGGATTGGGATTGGGATTGGGATTGGGATTGGGATTGGGATTGGGATTGGGATTGGGATTGGGATTGGGCGTGAAGGCCTCCTCCACCGCCACCACCAGCCTGGGGAGGAGAGGGATTG